TTTCCCACGTCAACTCAAATTGAAGTATCGTATCCTTATTTCCAATCAGTTGACGATCATGAAGTTTCACATGTCAACTCCGTGTCGATCCATGTCGATCGCTTCTCATGTTATCGAACAATGTACACCTAAGGGGACACCGTTTCAAACTACTGATTCCAAAGTCTCGACTGGATTGCCGGCGCCAGTCTTTTGCTGTCAGAGTATGCAAATCTTGGAATGCCCTTCCATCTCATGTCGTTTGTGCACCCACTATTGAATCTTTCAAGCAGAGACTCGACAAAATCTTGGCACACCTCACATTCGTACACTAAAGGCAAACGGGATTCACTGTAGCCTACATTCTCTATCTCCTACCCGGATCCCTATGTGACTCCTTTTTTGATGTGTAACGATTCATCTATGTAAACATCCTATGGGACAAGAGAAGCACCAGCTTGTAAGCTATTCCCATAATAAAACTTTGACTTTGACTGTCAGAGTTTGAATCGGAGTGTCAGAATATGTTTTCCTTCTTATAGGACAATTTCGTGTGTAACTAGCTGTAGAAAAGGAGAAACCCATTACTGATGGCGTTCAGCTATGGGTGCTGTCAACCTGTTTTAAATAAAATTTAGTGTTCGGTAAGTTAAGATCTCGTTATATTATATAATATTTCACACACGTCTGATGCCAGACTGTGTGCCAAACAAATCGTGGTACAATAATCTTTATAAAAAGTAAAACGTTCCACGATTTGCAAGTGGGCTGAATACTGTCAGGTTGCCCATGCCAAGACAGGTGAACCTTTTTGGGGAACCCAAAACCGGAGCTTCTGGTTAACCAAAGCCTGACCCGCAAGGCAGCCGGGCGGTGCGCGAAAACCGCAATCCGTTCGGAGTCGGTGTCCAGTTCATCGGATCATACTCCTTTCGGACGGGGTCAAACGTCCAAGTTGACCAATACATTTCGATGCCCAATCGAGCCGGTGACCATTGTAACAACCGGAAAGGTGTGGGTGTGGTTCGTACGCCTCCTCTTGGTTGGTTTGGAATCAGAGTTTTTAGCCAACTCCCCTAGGTGAACTGCCATTGGTTCATCAACCCGGTTATAGCCCCGGATATCGGCTTTTCGTCCTCTCACTTTCGTGCAAAAGCACCTCCACCACGGGAAGGCAGTGAGTAGGTCTTCCTGATCAGAGGCTATTTGAGACGCTTGGTCGTTTGGGGGTGTTTCGCGAGGTGCAAGGGACGGGTGATCAGCCGCAGCCCTAGACACCCTCCCCCGACCATACTGAGGATATTCACTATCGAAGTTGGGAAATGATTGTCTAGTTTGCATTGTGACCTGCAGGTGCCGGTTTACGCTGTTAGTAGTCACGACTTGAGCCAAGCAACCGAAACTATTTGTGCGAAAATTTGGAAATCCACCAGTACAAGGCAGCAGTAATCGTAATATGGAGTTTCCCTCCTACCAATACGCTCGCGGAACTAAAATCAAGCCCGAAATGTTCTCTTGCTCACTACTAGTCCCAGAAAGATTTTGTGTAAACGCTAGAAAACAAGATTTCAAGTGAAACTAAAGAGGGCAGGGTACTGAATTGTCTGAACACCATTTGTTTCATGTTTTAGATATGTAATCAATGAAGTCAATATTAGAATACGTTTGAATTATCCAATGACTTAACCTGCACCTCAGTGTTATTCCGGTTGGAACAGCTGTTATTCTTTCCAAATACTACAGATATGAATTATTAGTGGATCAAAACAAGAAATAAAAATAAAAGTAAACAAAACCACATCTAAGAATGCATTGTAAGCTATTGGCTGGCTGAACAACCGACAGATTACACGATATATGTATCATGTCAGAGACTTGTCCGGCAAGGTACATTTTTAACTATTTCAGAAATTATCAATTAGAAAAACAATTGTAAACAACAAAGCAGAAGCTGCTGGCATTTATTCGGAACAGATAGATCTAAACCAGGTGCACAATTCTGCAACCTTTGTTTGATTTCGCGTACACTTGGTAATAATTCAAAGAAGACAGAGTACGCAGTGTTGAAAATCTTTTACGGATGTTTGCAATCTGAAAACTATGCTCCTTAATTGTATAATATCGATTAATGATGGCGGATCCCCAAATCTGTGGCTTTAATGTTTCGGACGAGTAAAAATAGTACTTGTTCCCCATGTGAACCGCACGTGCCATTCCAGGTAGAACATTTCACCACAGGTATAGGGGGGGGGGATTGAACTCGTGTGCTATAATTGACAATGTAGGGTATGCAAGTGGCATCTTGTCAAGTCTATGAATAGTCAGACCTGAAAAAAGCAACCAAACAAACGAACAATGGACAAGATCACGTGGCATTGTGGGTAGGCCTGAATACGTTTGACTGAACCGGTACACACGGTACAATATTATGATATGTTATATTACTACTAGACAAAGTCAAAATGGTGTGAGTATGTCTAGCCTGGAAATTCCAATGAATTTTAACGAACTACCTGAACTTGCATCATTACGATTCCAGAACTGAGAAATAGTGTACGAACAATGATGGATGACAATGAAACCAGGTGGTAAAAATGCGGATCAGTTAATTTGTTTATGAAAACCAAATTTTATTGTCTGTCCGGGGAGAATAACGAATCAGTCTATTGGCAAAAACGCTAGTGGAACACGTCTATCCACATAATATAAATCGAATAATCTTAAAGTGATGATAAAATAGTGCTTTCTAGGCTGACTAGACGAGGATCTTCCAATGGTAGAACAATCATAGGGTTCTATGAACGTTAATTGTTCTCCACTCCTGATTCATGATCGTCATAAGGAAAGGAATAACTCAGGTGTGCATGTGATAATCACACAGTCGTATCAGTCCGTTTATGCTCCATTGTGATTTTTTCCTTTCCCCTTTTCATCCGGGCTCTTCAACATGATAGAAATGATATCATTCACTGTGACCTGAAGCCGGAGAACGTGCTCCTACAAAGTCCGAAACGAAGTGCTATCAAAGTGATTGATTTCGGTTCCAGTTGTCAAGTGAACAAACGCGTATACACGTACATCCAATCCCGATTCTACCGGGCCCCGGAAATCATTATGGGCATGAGTTACGGGAAAGAAATCGACATGTGGAGTTTGGGATGCATAGTGGCTGAAATGATCACCGGTAAGTGGATGGGGGAAGTTCTGTTTTTACGGTGCTATCGCAGTTTGGCGAAACAATTTTCCTTGCCTACTATATCTTACAACGAAGGGGTATATTAGTGCAGGGAAAATGTTTTGAAATGGAGCAGATAATCCGGGTTGCATTGTGCCGCTGGACTTTTGTTCACCGACCTGAGGGCTGTCCAGTTAGCTTCGGCAATACTTTAACCTAGGTCGCATGCACAGAAATGATGAGGCTAAGAATGATACAATAATTTGTTTTCCGGACCTTCTTTTGTATGGGTGATAGAGAAAACAGTCGTGTTTTCTTCTACGGGAATTTGATGGAAAAGATTTATTATCCAGCTGCACAAAATTTCATGGAAAAATGGAATTGCTGAATGGATTTCGAATGGAGTTAATAGATAGTCAGCCGGGTCTCCTTTCGTTACTGTCGACCCAAAATACATTGAGTGACAATCATTGAAGATCAGATGTATCAGTGGTTCCGATAAGTCCCAATCTGAGCTGGTTGACAATTGTTTATCAGACACGCCTTCAATACCATGCTAAATCCCGTGCAGAACATTGAGTACACCCTACATCGATGAGCTCTAAAGAGAGTGAAACTCCATTATACTACTTGCTGAGTTTATGGTTGACTGGATGAACTGAGGCTTATCTCACGGCTTTCATCATTAGCGGTTGTAAGTTACATAAGAAATAAAAAATGTTCAGACTACGGATTTCCGGTTTCTTATTGGGTTTTGCTAGCAATCTTGTCTTTTACACAAACAGTGTTCTGTTGTATGTCTCTCCATGATTTTTAGTCATTTTATGATGTAGTTAATGCCTAATTTTGTTCTAGTTAGATCGATACTTTCGAGCGTTTTTAGCTGAAAACAATTTCGTTGACACACGATCAGTGTGCAGCGTGATTCACAGATTAAGCGCACCCGAGTTCATCACCTATTGTTGTTCCCCAGGTGCATCTGTTTTAACGAATGTCAAATGTCATTTCGGTGGAAAGTGCAGAGAAGAAAATTTCTTCCGTTTGTCAACCTATGGAATAGGCGAAAATTGTACAAGGTAGAATATTTTGAAACGCGTTGGAAATTCCAGTTACCTATTGATATTGAAACTCACCAAGGGGTACACAAATTAACATTCAAACTTAGCGAATCGTTGTTTTGTTTACGAAGAGTGGTTTTCCAGCTTCTTCGGAAACGATCTCATGAATCGCCATGCATTGACTCTTGTCCCCATTATTAAGCAGTTAAACTGAAACAAACAAAAAACAATATCTATAAAACAACAACGAAAAAATTTCACAATTTGTATGTATGGAAGTCTCACCTTCCTCAGTCTGTCTGCCCGGACCGATCAAGTGCACCGGATAAGACGAATTCTTCAAATCCCTGTTACAAACCAGTGTACTTCGCTCAACGCATTCACAGAGCACAGAAAACACCAATCCGTTCACTAAATAAACCATCGGTAACCAGTTCTATTTGTTTTCATTTCAACTGAGGTGAAACACGGACCAAACAGGTGTTTCGGCAGTTTCTCTGTTGCCTAAACGAACACGGCATTGTGCGAGGTTCACTGGGATTCGAGTCCGGAGATTTAGGGGCTCTGAACAAAACCTCCCAGGTGGAAGGCGCTGCTTTAAAAATTTCACGCATTCAGTCCCCCTTTAGGAATTTGGACTATATTGAAGAGTTTGTTATCGCTCTTATGAAAATACGGATAGTTTTAGTGATCCCTAGAAGCAAGTCCACCTACTTAAAAGTAAAGCTGAACCAAATATGTAAACTCGAAACGAGTAAAAATGGAACAAAGGTGGAAAATTGTAACCTGTTATACAAACTGGACTGCTGGGATTGTTCAACAATCTTCTGCCAAATGAAATACAGAATTAACGAATACGCTGTGCGACCGAATAACTGCGCAACACTATCACACGATTCTGCTATTGCAGTTCACACTTTGTGCAAAAGAACACGATAAACATCGGCAATCCCGTGTTTCTCAGATAAGGTTTCCGTAAACAGCTAGAGTGAATGATCTCCGGATTCATTTCAAACCAACCTGTGTCAGTCGTACCGAGAGGATCGAAATGTCGTGACCTGATCTGACACTGCCTTGACTGTCCCAGCAGACCACTTGACCTCATGTGTAGTAACGCGCGCGTTCAGGTCGACGCAAAGCCCTAATGATGTGTCTGTTTGAATATGGGCGCAGGCTCTACAACCCAATTGTGCACACACACACACATACACACATGTACACAGATATCTTTCGCCGCGTACACTTTATGCACCGCAGTTATTCATTTTAAAACTGCTAATTGTCAGATCAAATTCATTAACTTGGAAAAATCCTTTCACAAAGGTTAAACTCCCGTCACAGAAATCCTGTTTAGTTTTGGTATTTTTGTTATGACTATAGACCAAACAATGCACTAATGTCAAGTAAAGTTATGTTTCTCATCACATGTTTTGATTGAACAAGATATCCAACAAAAAAGTTAATCAAACCTCTACGAATTTTGTTCTTCGGCACTTTACATCGTTGCAAATGGAAGACTTGCCTCTGGTTGCTTCCAGAAGAGCAAACAAGATGCTCTCTGACCTTATACCCTTATACAGGTACAGTGAATGACTATAGATAAAGGAGTAATCGACCAGGTCTTAAACCCCCTGCTTGCGGAGTGAGGTTCTTCGATGCGAATGTTGGTTCCACGTTATTGGTGAGTAGCGTGGAACCACGTCACACACATACACTGTGCACACTGACTTAAGCAGTGTTAGAGGTAGCATCACTTGAAAGGAATTCACACTGCACAGAAGAAGAGATCTCACACAATAGATACGATTGTGCCATCCAGTCGACCATCTTGCGGGTGGTCTGTGTAAATCAGTTGTTTAAGATATTTTTTCAACCTGTTTATTTACATCGGCTGTGAAACCCTCGTTCACTGTGATATAATATGGTATGAAAGTGGGTATTGGGGTGGAGATGGGAGTGGTTGTGTTGACGAATGGTTGATTGTACTGGTAGACCGGTTTTTAGCGGATGAATTCGCTCAGGTACTGTCTGGATGTTTAGATTTTCGTATTCCTGTTTCTTCTTCAACATTCACGTTCAAACAGAATTAGAGCATCAAATGGTAGACAGGTTGTCCGGGGAGACTAGAAGCAATGCGGCGTGAATACAAAAAGTTTACTTACTATGGTTGGATATGCTGGTAGAATTGCTTTCTATTCAAGAACTAAAGAAAGTCTTCTTTACTCAACCCTTACCCTTTGAATGATAACTCCTTTTTTATTGAAGTTATAAGAGCGAACTTATTTTTGGATACAATTGACGGTACATTACGTACGATTGGACAATTTTTCTTCCTGCATACACAGGAACAGCTTTTCCGTTGTTGCTGCTCATTCGACAAGTGTATGTAGTGGTTTTGTGTTAAAATTTTTTCCAGCCGCTCGTATTGTCCATCCGAGTTTTCCATATGGATACAAAACTGATCACGTTATTCGGGGTGGTGGCGGATTTTCATTCACTTATTAAGATGATGCTTGCGACATAGGGTTCAGAAATTGTCATTTGTCGAGGTTTGTAGGTCGAACGGAGTTACAGTAATGACTGTCTTAGGAGAGCTTATTCAGAAACAGAAAATTCCGTCGATACGATTTAGAACTTTTGGGGACCGGGCTAAAGTTAAGCATTGTTTCGGGGATATACAGATAGTTATCTTGATTGCATTCATCTGTTGGGTGGTCTGTTTATAGATGAAACATCACATCTGTGTGTGCGCGTATGTATGTGCCCGCGAATACACGCTTGCCCGTACATATATATGTGCGTGTGTGTGTGTGGTGTTTGTATGCTGACACTGTGTGAGACGAGACAAAACGGTCGGGAAAAACGTCGCGCATACCAGTGAAATCTTTTTATTTGGCTTTTTCTTTCTATCACATCACAACTATTTCACATGTTTCTGTGTGAATGAATGAACATCTTCCGATTGTTTACGATAATCTGCTTTCACACCCCGAACAGGACCTATTTGGTACGAGCATGTGTAGTCGAACAATTTTGATGGTGCACCAGGGCGCGCGTACGCACGCACGCTCGTGCGCGCGCGCGCAACACAAGTGACCACGCACAGGCCTTCACAAGAATGCAGACGAATCTGTTTAAAGGTCATTCCATAAATGTCAATTGGTTCATCGGTGACTCGTCAATAGTCGTGGTCTATTTGACACATCGGTCTTATGCACATACCAGACAGATCATGCGTCTGTCAGACTCGCTCGGATTTGTTAGACACATTCTGGGACACCGATATGTATATTTATTTGTTCAGATTTTTAGTTAGTAAGATGTGCGTTGTTTTGGGACATGTGGCATGTGGCCAAATAGAAGCGCTGGGTTGGCAAATCGAGAGAGAGGACAGGGTAAAAATTTCGAATGAATTATGCTTGGAAATGCCCAGATGATGTCAATCTCCTCCCTGACACCCTTTTCAATTTGGAACAGGACCGAATCCATTGTATTTGTACGCCTCGAATGCGATTGAGCTCGCCCAATTAACACCTGGCACCTGATAGCTTGAATACTTGTGAACTTTGATATGAGAATACTGCCTATTCTATAATTGGTGCGGTGCAAGTGTTGATATGAATCCATCACCATCTATATAGTAAATTCATCACCTGGCCTATGTGTGAACTCATTATTCAGTGGGTGGTTCTGTGAAACTCCAAGCAATTTTGAGTGTGGTAAAAATTACTGTTTGTGAAATACAGTGGATTATCTTATCACAAGCTGCCGCTCAAATGCCCCTAGGTTTGGAGAAAAGAACGGGTACAATACTTAGAAGTTAATGAGAAATCAAGCGATCTGATGGCACAAAAAAGTATTGCCATATCACTTCACCGGAAAAAAACACGTTTGCATATAGAAGGTCGTTTGACTGAATGATTTTGCCTTCATTGTATCGACTTGGATGTG